TGCAAAGGTTTTTTTTGTTTTGTTTAGATGATAAGGGATGGGCTCTTGGGAAAATTCTAATTCATCTAAGAAATATCAAATCTGAATGAAGAAAAAAAATCTGGGATGAAACTACATTTTAGAACCATTGAAAAGTACCTGAAATGGTTGCTGCTGGGATGAAAAAGCAGCAGAAACATTTGGAGGAAGCTGGGTTGCTATAGCGACAGGAGTACCAGTCTGCCCATCCTTTCCTGTCACAACCTTTACCTGAGAGAAATATTTGGGGAAAAAAAAAAAGAAGGGAGAATCATTTTCTTTTTAAAAGTTTTTCTTCTTTTTTTTTTTTTTTTTATTGTTCAGTACCTCACTGAAGAGGGGATTATAACTAAACAACCACCAGTACGGCTCGGTTTGAACGCAGGCCGTTTTTGAAGAGTTCTGTCTCACTTTTAATAGCAGAACAGAGTATGGCCTTGACTATTTATAGTGACTTCTTGTCACTGGAAACCTTTTCTTAAATCCAGTTAACATAAAAGTGTGTTTTAAATTTAACGATTGCTGCTCCTAACGGACAACAAATTAGCATGACAGACAGTTCGAACTTAAGAGAGCTCCAACATTTATTTAAGCAATGAGCACAGCCACCATTCGCTCTCCCCTTGAATTCCCAAAGAGATCAACCTTTCCAGGCAAGGGATGAAGTGCATTGCTTTAGCAGAAAGTGATAAAGAGGGGCGAGGGGGAAATAAAAGAGAAGACGACAAAAAAATACAAAGAAAGAACATACTCAAAAGATGTCTTAAACTTTCAAAAGGATTCATCAGTTGAAAACACATAAAGACTTTTGCTGTTGCACTTTGCAAAATTCTCCAGCAGCTAGACGAACAAGCGGCTTTCACAAACAAAAGACGATCCATCACAAGAAGGCAGTGAAGTACAGCAAACTCCAACCCCGAAAGACCGAGGGGCAGAGCCTCAACTGATGTAAATTGTAGTAGCTCCACTGACTTCAATGAACCTATACAATTTACACCCGCTACAGATCTCTCAAAATGTGCGTACTGTAGTTAAAAATACCTGGTATTTCAGCTGACAAACACGCAACCCAACAAGAACACCTAAACGATTTGACAAAATACAAACCAGGTGAAAAAAAAATATTGAATATCCATTGTCAATAAATTACAATAACAGGCTAGCACTTACGTTACTGTATATGGAAATGATTCCTTCAAAATTATCAGTAACTATCACAAGCAGAAATATATTTTTCCTAGTCACGAAGTTTAGACCACAAAACAATGAACAAATTAAAGTTCAGCTGTTGTACTGTTAAAATTTCCCACAAATTCCAACTGAAGATATGATAACTAATGATTCACACCTAAGAGAGTCATCAATTTTCACTGAAGACACTCATTTCTAACAGATATTTCAAAGCAATATGAGTTTCTTTACAGAACAGGTTTGGTTTGGTTCTTTACAAACTGGCAACTATAAACCCACACATATTTTAACGAATTTTAAAGGGTATTTGTGAGTGCCAAGTGATGCAGTGGCATCAGTTATATCTACCCTGTTGCAACCACTTGCCACATAGACTTTCAGGTAGGCGCTGGACAAGACAGGCACTGCTCCAGCACCCACGGGGGTGCTGCAGGTCAGGAGCTACACAAATGGGTACAAACGTGCAGGAGAAGTTGCACGGCATCTGTCTGTGGCAAGCTTATTTCAAGCCCTTTGCCATTAATAAACAGTGAATTCAAGTCAGTAATTTTAAACCTTTGCGTAAATAACAAAGTTAACTTGTTACTGTCCAGTCTGTAAGTGCTATTTTTTAATCATTTAGACAGCAATACACGCACAGAGCTCTAAGACAGCCTAAGTAACCCGATTCATTACTACAGACCCATATACATTATGATTCACGTTCTCTCTGAGAAATTAGATAACTTCAGATTTTTCTGTCGGCCACAGCAACGCTGAACTTCAGTAACATCTATGGTTAGAAGTCACACGAGTCGAATAAAGGTTAACCTCTTGTAAGACTTTGTGCTTACTCTTTTTTTGTTTGTGTAAGTCTAGTAAGTGAAATTTAATCTATGATTCCTACTCATATTAATTCTGATAGCTTAAAACAGCTTCCACACCAATGCCATCTTTATTTGTGTGTTGGCTTACATACTAACTAGGACAGTGAAAGCTCCTTTCAGCTCTCTGTTCTTTTCTTTTAAATACATACATTTAACAGCATGCTCAAACCGACCTATCGAATCACACTACCCGGCAGAACTGCACTCTCTCGGACCAACTATTTAAAGAAAAATTGCCGTACTCCATCAAGTAAAAATGATTTTTCAGGTACTGTCACTTTCTCTAATACTTCACAATCCAGGTGCCACAACTTCATCTACAATTTTATCCCAAAACCTTAATCAACAGATTTCTTACCTCATCATTGATGACCTCAGATTGTTCTTCCTCCTCTTCCTCCTCCAGATCCAAGTCATTTTGCCTCAGGTATGCTTGCAGTGGTACACAATGTTTCTTCTTAAAAGCTAAAAAGTCCATCATATTCCCTTGAAGATGTTGCAGGAAGAACAGTTCAATCAAACACTCCTTAAAAGTTTCCTTAAGAATTTCCATCTGCTTGTGGTGATGATCCAAACATTGTTTTCTCATTTGAGCAGTCTCTTGGTTGGCAGGAGGAATCTCCTCCAATTTTTTGGGTTGTTTTTTCACTGCTGTATTAACTGTAGGAGTAAGAGGAAGACTTGACAGCCCCTGTGGTACAGTGGCCCGTGAAGGACTTGTGGGAGGAGGTGGTGATGTCATTCCAAATGCACTCGGTCCTCCAACGCCTGCTATCAGTCCACCAGAAGTCCTGTCATATCCAATGGGTCTACCCAGCTGCTGTCCCTGAAGCACTTGCTGCTGCTGTTGCATAAGTTGCCCTTGGATAATATTGCTGATTTGGGGTGGCAAGCTGGTTGTCGTAATATGGCCCGGGCTAGTCAAAGATTGCATATTTGCTCCGCTAGCTACAGGACTTTGAGGACCGAGATGATGAATGGTACCACCAGACTGAGAATGAGGTTGTGAAAGCCTGCGTTCCCTTACCGTGGCAGGTGTCCCAGAAGATGGAAGCTGTACTTGTGCAGCAGCTCCTTGAGCAATTTGTGCAATTCCCGGTCCTTCTTGATACACAAAGTGTCCACCATTTGAAGGACTCAAGCTGATTTGCCTCACAAGCACACTAGCATCTACAAATCCTCTAGTAGGGCTCTGGCTGCACATACCCAAGCCAGGGCCCGGAGTGCCTGCCCGAACATTTGGTAACGTTTGCACTGGCACAGGGTTAGGCTGCGTAGGGCTTTGAGACTGAACTTGCTGAGGCAGCGGTGACGTAACTTGAATATACGATGGGGACCCATGCTCAAACCGCCTCTGCTGAGGACTGAACTGAAAACTCGGCGATGTTGGGTTTGGAATTGGCAACGGGGTAAGCGTTATCTGCTGGTTTCCTGAAGCCACCGGTCCAACGTTCTGCAGCGTGATGTTCACATTCTGCCCAGCTACTGGACTTCGACTCATTATAAATTGCTGTATTTGGTAACTGGGGGACTGGGGTGCAGATGGACTTGCAGAAGGCGCAAAAGAAGCTGCAGGGGACTGGGGTAAATTTGCCTGTTGCTCTTCTCCCTCACTGCCCGTGAAGGACCTGGACCTCTGGAGCTGACGCTGGGCATTCTGAGGACCGTTACCATGGTGCATTCTCACTGTTCTAGGTTTTTTACAGTGTACTCTAAAGAAATACACAAAAACAGAAATTCAGGGAAGGTAAAAATATTTCTGTAACTGAAACTCTGTAGTTACTATTTGAAAGACCACCTTATAGTAAGAACTCGGTTATCCTGTCTTTGCAGTTACTTAAAATGTTTTACGTCCCAGTCAAATTATCTGAAATCCTCGTCACCACAAAAGCTCACTTGAATCCCTCACACATTTCTCTAGCTAACAAAGTACTATTGAATAGTTTTACAAATGATTCGTTCCTCTTAGCTAGTTAGAATGACTCCAAAGAATTTTAAAAAAAATACTTGTTCCCTTTCTGAGGAACTCCAAGAATCGACAATCTCCAATATCAAAAGTATCTACTCTTTCTTGTATTCATTATCCCAACGTTTCAGTGCTTTTAACACTTAACACGATGTTCTCAAAAACACAACAGTTGCTTAAAATCTACAGTACGTTTCTTCAACAATAACTAAAAATATGATAAAAATGGACACAGACTATTCAACTCTATTGTTCTAGCTACTGAAGAAAAAATGCGTCATCAAAAAATCTCCCTACAAAATCATCTGGATGTTTGAAAAAGTATTGTACCCGACACTTAACTCTGCCTTTGCTTTCCTTCAGAACACCAACCCCTTAGAGAGATGAAAATTAACCCAAATCTGCGTTTCATTTAAAATGCTGTTTATTGGGCCCAGCTATCCAGAAATACAAAAACCTTCTGGTTTTGTATTTCAATCATTGACAAAAAAGAATTCCACCGACACGCACTGACAAGTAGATTCAGCACTGGGTGTCACATAGTAGTAGAAGCAAAAGAAAAATTAAACCTCATTTTTTAACCAGCCATCCCCCCCCCCACCCCCAATCTGTCTCATATTCTGAAAACAAGTTTCTGTTTTGGTATTTCAGGCCAAACACATGCCCGAGCGTGCTGCCATTCGTCTTTGCTCCTAACCCTCAAGTTGGTTACAAGCGGCAACAGCCGCGCCACAACACCCCCGCCGCGCTACCGGAAAGGTACGCGGTGCCGCGGCCGACTGCCCGACCCGCTCCTCGCCTGTCGCTCGGGCCGGGAAAACACAACGCAACTCGCCCGCTCCCCTCTCCCGGGCTATCCGCAGCAATCCGCTCGAGCCCCGGGGATGGAGACGTTCCCCTCCTTGCCCTCCCGGGAAGGAGCCGGCTTCCCGGGAGGGCGAGGAAGCGGAGGAGGGCTGTCACAGGCGGGCGAGCGACGGGGGGCTGCCGAAGAGGAAAGGGGCTGCCCGAGAGGACGAGACCTCGCACGCCAGGGAGGCACCACGGAGCGCAGCCCGCTCGGGGACCAAAACGCCGTCCCGGGCAGGTTTTGCCTCTCCCGCTCCGCAGAGCTCAGATCTGAGGGAGAGCCCTCAGCAGAGCGGGAAGGAAAAGAAATTCCACTCCTTACAGGCACCTCTTCCGAAAGATTTAATAATACTGCAACACCCCGTGGTACTGCGACTCCTTCGTAGCACTGATACCAAATAATTGAGATTCAAACGGTATCACCCATCGCCAGTCACAAAGTCTCATTATTTTAATTACCTGTACCTCGCCAACATTTACGGCCCAAGTGAAAACACTTAATTAATTACAGGCTGATAAGGAAGCGTCACCGGCGCGCTGCCG